AGCTTACTACTATGAAAACAAAACGCCCGGAGAAACAGCTCTTGCGGTTGAGAAAACAACCGACAAGTTCAGAGAGCTAGGGTACTAGCTACTAAAATAAAGGTTCATGTCATCTAAGTATGGGGTATCAGTTTCAAAAGCCTTTCGTAAGGGTGAAGTAGACTACGAATTTTGAAAACTAAATTAGCGGCGTTAAAGGTTATTTGATATGTATACCAGGATACCGTAAAGGATTTGATATAAAAGTTTCATCTTTTCCCCTAGAAATACAGAGAAATTTCGAGTGCTAAAGTGGCGGAATACATTTAATCATGTCGATCCAGGCCTATTCCTGGCTATCTGAATAAACGTGCAAAGATCGCGAATAGAAACCTTCCAGGAACAAAGCATCAAACGAAAGAGATTCAACGGCGAGTAGTGCTCTAGGAATAACTCACGGTCTATGAGAAAACTTTATTGAAGGCGACAATGACCTCCATAATTTGAGCTTCTAGGTCATTGCTTAATTTGCCTTCATCTTCGATCCTGGAGAGCAGCTCCGGCTTGTTGTGTCTGCAGTGGGCGAGAAACTCAGCTTCCCAGTCCATAATCCTGTTAACAGGTATATCATCAAGAAGACCATTAATACCAGCATAGATCAAGGGTACCATCTCATTGACAGCCATAGGAGCGTACTGCTTTTGTTTTAAAAGCTCCATCAGACGCTCGCCACGTCGAAGAGTTTGCTTCGTGGCGGCATCCAGATCCGAACCCAGCTGAGAAAAGGCCGCAACTTCGCGATATTGGGCCAAAAACAGCTTGAGGGAACTGGCAACTTGTTTCATTGATTTGAGTTGCGCGGCAGAGCCAACACGAGACACGGAAAGTCCAACATTGACCGCAGGACGGATGCCCTTATAGAAGAGTTCGGATTCCAAAAATATCTGCCCGTCTGTGATAGAGATCACGTTGGTAGGGATGTACGCAGAAACATCACCGCCCTGAGTCTCAACGATAGGAAGGGCGGTAAGAGAGCCGCCGCCATGCTTGTCGTTCAATTTTGCTGCACGCTCCAAAAGACGTGAATGGAGGTAGAAAACATCTCCAGGGTAAGCCTCACGTCCAGGGGGCCGGCGAAGCAACAGCGACATCTGACGGTAGGCCACTGCATGCTTTGACAGATCATCATACACGATAATAGCATGTCTGCCGCTGTCTCGAAACCACTCCCCCATAGCACAGCCAGCAAAGGGAGCAAGGTATTGTAAAGGAGCAGCTTCCGAGGCCGTAGCTGCGACAATGATCGAGTATTTCATGGCATCATTTTCTTCAAGAGTCTTGACAATCTGGGCCACGGTGGAGCGTTTCTGGCCGATAGCGACGTAAATACAGTACAGCCTGTCAGATTCAGCGGAGGAGCTATTCCATCTTCTCTGATTTAGGATAGTGTCCAGAGTGATGGCCGTCTTCCCAGTTTGACGGTCCCCAATGACCAGCTCCCGCTGACCGCGGCCAATTGGCACCATAGCATCAATCGCTTTTATACCAGTCTGAATAGGTTGGTTGACGGACTGGCGAGGTAGAATACTAGGGGCCTTGAGCTGAGCCCGCCGCTTCTCGGTAGTTTTGATGGGCCCTTTGCCATCGATTGGACTTCCGAGGGCGTCAACCACTCGCCCCAGCATCTCAAGGCCAACAGGAATATCAACAATCTCGCCAGTCCGCTTGACAGTATCTTCCTGTTTGACAAGGCGATCCGAACCGAAGAGCACGATACCGACACGAGCAGCTTCCAGGTTCATGCACATACCCTTCACACCGGACGGAAATTCGACCAGCTCTTCAGCTTGGATATTAGTCAAGCCACGGGCGCGAACGATTCCGTCACCAACAGACAAAACTCGGCCTGTCTCTGTTAACTTAGTATCCTCCTCAATGCCGTGTATTCGGCGTTCCAGCGTTGAAGAGACTCCATTGGACCCAACCTTGGCGTTAATGGCATATGAACGAAATTGCTTGCGAAATGTCGCCCAATCTGGTTTTGAGCCATAGAATAACCTGCCGATCTTAAGGACAGAAGCAAAATCGACGGTGCGATAAAATAGCCGCGAGGTGGGTTTGGGCATATCGAGCTAAATTCCACGATGTTAATGATGAGACCTCGCAGAAGTCGGAGAAAAGACGAAGTTAACGGATCCCCAAATTATGACGTGACTATGCCTGACTATGAGAATTAACTTCTCAGAAAGTCAACTTACCCGTCTATGTTCCGACAGACTTTGACTGGAATCCAGGCTTTATTAGCAGTGGGGTAAGCTATGGTGGAATTGTCTGCGATAATGACTGTACACACATATCGTGAACTAGTATGCGGGTAGTGACGTATAAGACTAGCAAAGTCATATGACTAACTGCCATAGTTAATTACATTGTTCTTGACTGGGGCGTCCAGAGGTTCCTTAATGGGCACACAACCGCTCCAACCATTGAATACGCCTGGCCCGTCGTAAGGTGACGTAATGGTCATTCCAACTTATCTCCAACGGTATTTGGATAATAAATAACAATATCTATGAAAGAATCTCCGATGGCATCCGAAGTGGATTATCCAGAACTTGAAAATGGACGGCACGGCTCAGTGTTCTCTGTTTCGGGACCTGTCATCATTGCGGAGAACATGAGAGGCTGCTGTATGTACGAACTTGTGAGTATAACGGGGCCAGCTTGAGCATAATTATCCTGACTGCCTTTTCCATAGTGCCGAGTAGGGTACGGCCAGTTAGTGGGTGAGGTCATCAGAATAGAGAGAGACAGGATTACCATACAATCCTTCGAGGAAACAAGTACGTGTTTGCAAAGTTTTGCTCAGCTACACCCGCTGATACGGCTAAAAATCGCAGGTGGTATAGCAGTCGGCGATCCTGTCACTGGTACAGGACAGCCACTAGCTGTCGAACTTGGTCCTGGATTGATGGGCACAATCTACGATGGAATCCAAAGACCGTTGGAAGCTATATCGTCCCAGGCAAAAACCATCTACATCCCATGTGGCATTGATGTCCCGTCGCTCAACCGTGAAAAATCCTGGGACTTCAAGCCGGGAACGTTCAGAGTGGGAGATCACATCACAGGCGGCGATATCTGGGGAAGTGTCATCGAGAATAATTTACTTGGTGACCACAAAATCATGCTTCCGCCACGTGCGGGGGGACAGATTACTCGAATAGCAGAGGCAGGTAGCTACACAGTCACAGAGAAGCTTTTGGCTGTTAAGTTTGACAGGAAAACCACGGAGTATAGTATGATGCACGTTTGGCCGGTGCGTGTTTCTCGGCCAGTTGCTGAGAGATTGCGCTGCGATGCCCCGTTACTCACTGGACAGAGGACCCTAGATGCTCTCTTCCCATGTGCCCAGGGCGGTACAGTATGTATCCCCGGTGCGTTCGGAAGTGGCAAGACCGTCATCAGCCAAAGCATTTCCAAATTCTCGAACAGTGATATTGTCGTGTATGTTGGCTGTGGGGAGCGTGGTAATGAAATGGCTGAGGTCTTGATGGAGTTTTCTATGGTATGTTGGGGATCCGGCACGTACGTTGATTTTAAGGATCTAATTTGAAAACCAGCGGTCTATAAAGCTTAAGGGGAAATCCGAGCCTATACTGAAGCGAACTTGCCTCATCGCCAACACCTCTAACATGCCTGTCGCCGCTCGTGAAGCTTCAATCTATACTGCTATCACTATCTCCGAGTATTTCCGTGATCAAGGAAAAAATGTAACGTTGATGGCCGATTCTACCTCTCGTTGGGCCGAAGCCTTGCGTGAAATATCTGGTCGCCTAGGTGAAATGCCTGCGGATCAAGGGTTCCCTGCGTATCTAGGATCCAAGCTGGCTTCATTCTATGAACGTGCTGGAGGGATCGTGGCTCATGGGAGCCCGAAAAGAAAGGGTAGCGTCAGTATTATCGGTGCGGTGAGCCCTCCCGGTGGAGACTTTTCAGACCCCGTCACCAGCTGTACTCTTGGTATTGTTCAGGTGTTTTGGGGCCTTGACACGAAGCTAGCACAGAGAAAGCACTTTCCGTCCGTCAACATCTCGTTATCCTACAGCAAATACCTAGCAGTATTGGATGAATACTACGAGAAGGAACACCCTGGCTTTCCGCAGCTCAGGGACAAGATAAAACAGCTTCTATATTCCTCTGACAACTTGAAACAGCTAATACAGCTGGTCGGCAAGGCTGCACTCAATGACCACGAAAGGATAACACTTGATGTGGCTTCACTGGTTGAAGAAGACTTTCTACAACAGAACGGATACAGTGAGTATGACGAGTTTTGCCCTTTATGGAAAACGAAGTATATGATGAAAGCTTTTATGCATTTCCATGATGAGAGCCAACGAGTTATATCTGAGGGTCATAACTGGGCAAAAATCAAACAACTCACTGGGGGTATTTCAAGCACACTCCGAAATATGAAGTTCGAGATGCCTGATGATGAGGACACTGTGTCAGTGAAGGTAAGGAGTAGCGCCAAGTGCTATTATTGATTTAGCCTGACAATTCAATAGTACAATAGTTTCCTGCGAGCAATATTAGAAAAGTTTGTCTCCATTTCAAACAAGTGAGAGGGTCACAGAGAAATGAACACCGATGCCCAATTTTCTGATTCTTCAATCTATATTGCAAATCCGCGGGTTCGATTATTTTATTGTGGGTTCAGTCGGGCCTTATCGACACTGGGCAGATTCACTGAAACGAATGTCCATTGATTTTAGGAAATAGGCTCTAAGACCGACATCAACTAGCTATATAGACATCCCGCTACTTCTGAAAAGATTGTTGTGCACTAGACTGAGGCTCTTCAATCAAAAACAGCTTAAATACGACCACCATAATCATTGGATGAGGTAATAATCAGTCACCAAATAAGTTCCCTCGGGGTCCTAATGAATACCTCGTGATCCCTGGGATTCGTTTTTAATTCCTTGTCGTTCAGAATTCTGTATGCGATCTGATAGTTAGGACTCGACTTCAAGGGCAAGGTACTGGGTATTGATATCGGTATCGGTAATGAATATGAACAATGGCGAGATAAAGGAGAGATTAGTACTCACGACACACTCCTGAATTTCCCCTTTCTCCAATATATGAAATATGACCTCTTGGTCATTGGATGTTCCGAACTCGCGCTCAAGAGTATCCCTGCTGGCTTCATTATGTATCCCTTGAGGCCCATGTCTGCAGGGTTGCAAGATTCCATTAGCAGATAGCCTTGCGTGCGCCTCCAGGGTTCTCATTATTAGGCTGATAGATATTTCCTGAACTCGGATAATGCACGTGGATAAATGAAAGCAGGCACCTACTGATGTGAGGTAAATATTTTCCACCCATCCATCACCTGCGCAAGTGGTAGAGTGTGATCTTTCCTCCAGTTCTGCACCGCGGTAATGTCCTCAACGAAGATGACGAAGTCTTCAGTCCGGCCCTTATAGTAAGCCTTGGACTGCATTGTATTCCCTCGGGTCATTCTGAATGGTGGTGGTGCAATTTTGTATCTGTTGTAACGTTGCGATAAGTAGTGCGGAAAGATGGTTAAGACAACGTTCACGCAAATCCCAAGAACGCAGCGAAAACAATAGTCGAGAAATATAAGGGTGGCAACATCGACAGTTTTCGATATGCCTTGTTGTCATGATGACGCAACGAACAATTGGGACATGGATGCGCCACAGCATTTGAGGTATTACATGCAAAATACTGCTAGTAACGGATCGAGATCTTGAGGTAGTTTGACGCGCTTAGTGTACACTACTCGGGGATGTTATATATGGATCAAGAGATCAGATAGCGAAACTAAGGGACTTCCCTTCCCGCCATTCTGACTGGGAGCTCGTCCATGATGACCTATGCTTTCTAACTATAGCATCTCGCTTCGTGCTTCCTGGATGAGCCCTATTATAATTTGAATCATCTCACATGATAGAGCTCAGGCGAACTCCCTCGATAGAGAATAAAGCTGTAATCTGTCTGCTTCTTTCTCGCGCCTGCTCATGATTTCTTAAAAGAGTGTACTCGTTGTGCCCGTTATTTTTCTTTTCTTTTTCTGGAAAGAGCTAAATCGTGAAGCCACGGAAGTAGAAGCCAGGTGAGAGCTGGACGTATGGAATGCACGCTATCTAGAAAATCGTGAGTGGCGCACGGAAAGGGAAGCATTGAAAAAGGGGGTTGGAAAGATCTGCTGACTATCCTAGCTCATTCCAAGTGGCCCACGGTAAAGAGAGCCAGGAGGCAGGTATTGGCGCATGGTATCCACGCTTTTAGAGAAACCGCGCTGTGGCCCCCGGTAGACAGCGCCGGGAGGTAGGGGGTACCAGGAGGCGGGCACTGGCACATGGTATCCACGCTTTTAGAGAAACCGTGCTGTGGCTCCCGGTAAACAGTGCCGGGAGGCAGGCACTGGCGCATGGTATCCACGCTTTTAGAGAAACCGTGCTGTGGCTCCCGGTAAACAGCGCCAGAAGGCAGGCACAGGCACATGGTATTCATGCTTTTAGAGAAACCGTGCGGTGGCCCCCGGCAGACAGCGCCGGGAGGTAGGGGGTACCAGGAGGCGGGCACTGGCACATGGTATCCACGCTTTTAGAGAAACCGTGCTGTGGCCCCCGGTAGACAGCACCGGGAGGTAGGGGTACAAGGAGGCGGGCACTGGCACATGGTATCCACGCTTTTAGAGAAACCGTGCGGTGGCCCCCGGCAGACAGCGCCGGGAGGTAGGGGGTACCAGGAGGCGGGCACTGGCACATGGTATCCACGCTTTTAGAGAAACCGTGCTGTGGCCCCCGGTAGACAGCACCGGGAGGTAGGGGTACCAGGAGGTGAGAGCTGTGGACGCATGGAATGCACGCTATCTAGAAAATCGTGAGTGGCGCACGGAAAGGGAAGCCAGGTGAGAGTGGAAAGGTGAGAGCTGTCGAGGCATGGTATATACGCTTTCAAGAAACCGTGAGGTGGTACGAGAGAGACAAGAGACAGAAGTCATGCACGTGATGCAATTTAGCGTACATCCTTCAACCACCGCTTCAACTTATTATTTCTTCTCTCTCCTGCTCCTCCTTTCTCACCACCCTTCCCCTATGCGCGCTTTGCTGGTGAGACAGCTTTGCTACTAATCTAGTTCACCGTCCTCCCACCGTATTTGCCTCCGAAGCAAAATAGCCGATCCTTTGCGGTCTCTCCCCGAGTACTCGAGTGTTCTGCGTTGCCTTCCTCCGCCCGGCCTCGTTTCGGCTCGGTTTTCCTCATTGCAGTTAAGATGGGGCGTTTTTGCCTTGATCCGCAACCTCATACGTCAATCGATCAGTAGATTGTCGAACCTTGGCGCCTCCAGGTGCTTTCACGCTTCGCTTCTGGACCATCGCGGCTGTATAGGGGCTTTAAATCTGCCCCTGAGGCGCATGGCTCCGGCAAGGGTGTTGGCAGCCTTGGATGATGATGATCGTATCATTTCGGAAACGAGGAAGACCGGGATACTGCTTCAATGATTAGTGATGCTGTTACTCAGGAAGTGGCTCCTTCGCGCCGGATCAACGAAACGCAAACTGTCGTATGACGAAGGCATCTCTTCTAACTCAGACGATCTGAGCGATTGACCAAAAGAGCTGGAACTTTGCGGCGATGTTCAATGTAATGATTTGTTGTAGACTTATAACCGAAAAGCGTGGTCCGCCCTACGAAGGGTTCTGTCGAGAGAAGCAGAGCTGCCTGGGATAGCTTGGAAGGGCAGGGAAAAGCGTGGTCGGCCATACGATCTGGCCGATCTAGAGAAGCAGCTTTGCTTGCGGTAGCTTACAGAGGGGGAAAAGCGTGGTCAGCCCTACGATCTGGCCGGTCCAGAGAAGCAGCTTTCCTTGCGGTAGCTTACCGAGGGGGGAAAAGCGTGGCCAGCCCTATGATCTGGCCGATCTAGAGAAGCAGCTTTGCTTGCGGTAGTTTACAGAGGGGGAAAAGCGTGGCCAGCCCTACGATCTGGCTGATCTAGAGAAGCAGCTTTCCTTGTGGTAGCTTACAGAGATTATGGAGTGCAAAATTTGGCCTGACACGGCTGTTGTCAAGGTACATACTAGCATTGCATATATGAGATCAAAATCATGCCACAATCGTCTTCTTTCCAAGACATTCTATGGAATATAACAGGGAAGACTAATGACCTATATATATGGATAGCCTCTCCGGCAGTATTTGCGTTTTAAAATCTTCATCCCCCAGTTGTGACAGTTGTGTCTTCCCTTGTCTTCTCGAAGTCTCGGACTGTAATCAACCTTGGCGTTGGGTAGTAGGAGCCCTAATAAGTCAGCTTTCTTTCCCTAGAAGAAGACTCTGCCACATACTAATTGTGAAGTAAGAAAAGCCCAAAATCCGGAAGCATCTGCGGACAAAAGATGTACCTGACCCGTCTCCCGGATGCGAATGCCCACACATACATCTGCGTCGCACATCTTACTATATTTGCGTGCCTTTCTCATCAAACTTGTTTTGCGACGGCATTGTTTTTGGCGCATCGATTTTCTCTTGGAGGAGTAATTAGATCGGGTTGGATTTATAGCAGCCATTGCGAGTGGTCGCCTAGCTCTTTAGCGGCTCGATGAATGTGAATGTACCTGTATTGTCCGGGAAAAGCATCAGAAACGCGAGCTCTTATAAGCACTGTTAACAAGAAGAGCTAAAGTGTGCAAAGGGAACTTTTCAATTTTTGAACGGACAAAAGACCACGATTTATGAGAAAATCGTGGTCTTTTGCGCGTTGAGCAATACGTGGGCGCTAAGACGGCGCGTAGTTCAGGCTCCACGTGATGTTAATAGTATTCTGCTATCCCGCCGAAAGTACGTGGGAGGAGAAAGCAACACGAAAAAAACGGCTTGAACTCGAGTTATTGAACTAGACCTACAACACGACATACATGCTTTATCCTGCAAAAGGGTAGCATCCGATATATCCCGTGATTGGTGCTCGGCAGATAGGACACTTCTCCGTTGTTCCAAGACTTCCTGCGCATGACCTGCAGACCATGTGCCCACATAGAATGAACACCCAGCGATCTGGCTGCATATAGCAGATCTTGCACTCTAAAATCCGCTTTTCCCTTTGCTGGGAAAGTTCCTCTTCCGTCTTTTGGTGCCTCTTTCTCTCCTGGCGAAGTTCATCTCGAAGCATGCGATTTTTATACTGTACTCCCAGAGTCACACTGGAATGCCTCCTTGAAGGAGAGGATAACGAGATAGAGAGTTTTGCAGCGAAAACATGCTAGGCTATTTGCCAGAAGGCTCGGATTGCTTACTCTCCTTTATCTTTTGCTATGTCTCTTCCTACGCCCAGCAACCACAGAGTTCTCACCCCCATCCATGCCATCGGAACCCAAACATTCACCGACGCATAGGGGTCCATGTCCGATCCCGGAAGCACTGCTTTAACTCCCACCACGCCTAGCACGCTCGTCGCATGGAGCACATCAAATGCTATAAACGCCAGCAATACAGCTGTAACCACAGCTTGTGCGTCTCGTGTGTTCTGTAGTTTGTATCGTGCCGTATAAATGAGCATAGGTTCGATCACACCGCTGAACCCTAGTGCAGCCATAGTCTGGTACAGTAGGACGCGGAGCTGCGGCGTATGCCATGCAGACACTTGGTCGCACACGGGTTGAGTTACGTCTTGCGAAAAGAGAAGTCCATTGCATAATCTTTTATCAGCGGGCGCGAGAGAATGGAAATGGTTCGCGGGTGACGCGACGATGCAGAGCAACGCTATAGCTATAATGGAAGGCTGTTCAGGGGTTAGTAGAATGTTGTTTTGACGTAAGCTATGCGTTACTAACTCACTTCAAGAATTAGAAAAAGCCACAGATACGGCTGAGGCAGGATGTTGACTGCAGTCATGCTTGTAGCTGGTCGTTGGTGGAGTGGTGGAAACGAACAAGCTAAGCAAACAAGTTGCTGGAGCCGGCGGGTACGACCAAGCCGCTTGATTCTAGGGGATTCGATGTATCATTACAGTATTATTACAATACGTACTAGGATGTGGTACAGTCATTACCACCACAGTTCTGCCCAATTAATCGAGCGGTGACCCCAAGCAGGATTAGTGTATCTCGGATTTATTTTCCGGGAATGAAGTCGCAAGAGTGTGGAGGTATAACTGATTTCGAAAACTACTGTATTCGAGAACTGTCATGATGAATCGTGGTCGCTTTCAAACAGATGTTCACGATGCTAGGTACTTCCTGCCTGAAGAAGAAGAAGAAGAAGAAGAAGAAGAAGAAGAAGAAGAAGAAGAAGAAGAACTAGAGGACAAGACTAGATTTGAGAAGATAGAGTAAGCGTGAGTAGGGCGTCATAAGTACAACAAAACCATCGGCCGGTGAGCGCCGCGTCCCCCTTGAGCCGCATGTCCCTTTTTGAGAATCCCCACCAGGCAGACAGGATGGCAATGATTGCTTTTACCCTCTAATCTTTCTTGCACCGGGAGTGTCCACTGTCGAGTGGCAGATCGCTTCTGGTTACAGTGACTACGCAAAAGTTTGGACACCCCTCGCCCCACACCACCCTAATTACATAATATACTGCCGGTCGCAAAACCTCCGCCAAACTCCATGAATTAGCAATCTGCCAAAGAACTAGCTACTATACCACCACTAGGCCACCTAATAGGCCTAGTAGGGCGTATACCACCCTTCTGATTCAATGATTGCTTGCACTCTATTAGGCATAGCCTCAGAAAGGTGTTCTAAGTGCTTCATATCGATATTTTGCCATGCAATCTGCGCAGTTTCCACCAAGATTCGCTTAGTCTCATTATTATTCTTCATATGCATGAGATCTGGCCGAATCTTATAGATTTCTGCTTTTAGAAGGGCCCATAGATTCTCAATAGGATTTAGGTCAGGCGAATGAGGTGGCCAAATCATTACCTCGATCTCCATCTCTTCTAATGCATCGCGCACAACATACGCTGTATGCGTAGGTGCGTTATCATGCATAAAAATCCCATTCTCCGCTGGTAGTAGCGTAGGAAGAACCCTTCGATATAACTCTTCGATAACAAATCGATTCACACCACCTCGCTCGGATTCAGGATCGCCGAATAGGGGAATTAAACCAGTACGTCGAGTAGCCGAGAAAGCAGCCCAAAACATCTGCTTAACCTGGAAGCCACGGTGTGGTAAACCATGAACCTCGTGCTTTTTCCATTGGTCTCGAGGGCGTATAAAGGTCCAATCTCGACGTATACCAATCCCTCGCTCCACAGTACACTCATCAGACCAGTAAACACGGGCCCAATCAGTAGGTAAAAAGTGCTGGTAGCGATGAGCCCACTGTAGGCGTTTTGCAGCGCGTTCCTCATCAAGATAAGGTCTCCAAGCGCAGCGCCATTTTCGCATATTCTCTGCGTTTAACAATCGTCGAATTGAATCCTTCTTGACCTTATGAGAAACTTCCGAAAGTAGGTCATCGTAGGTAACGCGTGGTTGTTCCGCAATCACATACAGGATTCGGGCCTTATCCTCCTCAGTAAGCTTCTTTGGGCGACCAGAGCGAGGCTTCGATACGCCCATTCGCCTCTCAGGCTCTTTCTTGATAGTATATCGTATACCTGAGAGGGAAATCCAAGGATATCGCTTATGAATTCGCTTATAGCCCCAGCCGATATCGTGTAGTTCACATATACGCTCTCTAAGCGCAGGTGTAAGCTCTGTAGTAGGAGCCATAGAAGATAGATAGTAAAGATAGAGATTCGAGAGAGATTCGAGACAGATTTGCTGTTGGAAAAGGGGTATATTATAAGCAGTCCGCAATAAAATCGCGTTGTGTATACCCTAGCGTGTTTCTGTATACGCGATTTAGGTAGGCGGTCGGTAGACAGACTAGGCGGTCTAGGGAATGTGGGGCGGGGGTGTCCAAACTTTTGCGTAGTCACTGTAACCCTTCTATATGTAAACGTTACGGCGAGGAAGTATGTCTAGAAGATAGTCTTCTATGATCACATAGTGTCTGTAGAGTAACTGTAGAGTACCGAGAGCTTGAGACTGTTGTTATACAAAAATCTCTGATAAGGGCAGAGTTTCCCGGAATACTTATTGATTGGAGGATTCCGCAAGGGGCTCCGGCGGGACTGTAGGCTCCGGCAAGATTGAAGACTCCGGCAAGATTGACGACTCTGGCAAGATTGAAGACTCCGGCGGGACTGTAAGCTCCGGCAAGATTGACGACTCTGGCCAGAGAGGGGACTCCGGCAGGATTGAAGACTCCGGCAGGACTGTAGACTCCTGCAGGTCTCAGGACTTCTCGCTAAGGGTACCAAGAAGCACATCGGTGCCACTCCATGACTTCCTTGGATCATACGAGCTCTAATATTCGGACGATGGTCTATGGGATATAGATCGTTTGATCTGAATCATAGGTGGCATCTAATCCTCTGAGACCCGACCGAAAAATAGAGGGCAGAAATGAGGATGTATACTATGAGAGACTGCCCTTCAAGACTGTCAAGATGTGAGAATATCATTATAGAAGAATATTAAAAACGGGAAGGGTTTCCTGGGATATCTATTGATTTGAGAGCGTACGTGTTTCGTGAAGAAAATCTTAAGAGAGATTTAATACCAGGAACCTCATCTCATGACAGGAATTGTCTCGTGTAGGCCACCCTGAGATATTGTAGTCAAGACTAATGTCATAAAACGAGCCTCCTATGACTAAGCTCCTGAGAGCCCTGAGCTTCCAAGACCTTAGTCATATGATGGTCCTCTGGAGAAGGTTCTATTCTTGAGAATTTCCTCTTGAGACGAAACTAGTCCTGTGAGACCCGACCAGAGAACAGAGGGCAGACAAGAGGAGGTACGTTATGAGACCTAGTTCTTCGAGTCGAAGGCCTCCTATAACGGTCATCCTAGGCCTAACTCGGCTTTAGACATGTAGGGGCCACCCAATAGTGTTGCGCTGCGGAGGTGGATTCAGCGCTTTAGTCCTCACCTCCAGTGAGGAGGGATCCCATTGGCTCACTGTATTCATTGCCTGGTGAAGAGGGTCACTGTCGAAATACGGAATACAACTACCGCAGTGGCCTCCTATTCGGGAGTGTTTTGTGTGGCAGGACACCCCCGCGGACACACTGTATTGTGGCTGAGTGTCGAGCAAGGTGGTCTTGATATTGTGGGGGGTACAAGTTTGCGGTTTTGGCGGCAGTGCGCGCTGTTCGTCATTTACAGTATTGCCTCTCACTAACCTCCCAAACTCAGGGGGCCGTGCTTCGATGCGGCGATTGAGGATGACATTCAACGTAGAGCGAAAAGAATGGGTTTTGTCGCCAGTTGACACCCGGCCCAGCCAGCCAATGTGTCTGGGATCGTGAGCCGGGTAGGACTGCGAGCTACGGCCATGAACAGGGCGACATGGCTCTTATGTCCGTATCTAGTCTAAAAGTGTGCTCAAGATCGCTTAGGCTTCACAGAAGCATAACGAGCGATTAGCGTTTTATCCAACTAGCACGCCAGTTCACAGGTGGACTCGCGGTCTTCCTGACCGTGTTTGACCATCGCACTGCTGTATAGCACAAGGAAGATTATGCAGGAAGCAAATATAACGTTATCAAGTTTTTTCCCTCACCAAATCAGCGCTGGATGTTTGGGCATGTAATGAGCTCACTAGCTGATCATTGCTTTTGTTTTGAACTTCTTCAAGAGGGAAATATCGGGTTTATAGTCTCGCTAGGCTTTGGGCAGTGGAAAGCCGGTCCGCATTTTTCGGGAGAACTCCACGGCTGTTGCAGACAAAATCGTCAAAGAAAAATGAAAAATATGGGGAAATCTTCATTTCCGCTTTACGTTGGGAAATCCAGGCGGAGGCTAGTTGGTCCCGAGCGGTGGCTAGTTAGTCCTGAGCGATGTCGAGTTGTGCCTTTGCGTTTTACTGGATGTATCGTAGGAATAGCGCTAAAAATAGCTTAATTGTGGTCAGGAAGGGCAATAATTATCATTAGGCTTGGGAATCACCGAGCATTGGAGGCTCTCTCCGTGAAAGCGGTGAGGGCCCCTAGAGCGAGTACTGCGCCATAAAGCGATTGCCCCTGAAAGGTACCATGAATACGAGCCTCTCGTGGTGCTCGTGTTTATTTCTTGGCTGTCTGTCGATCATCCTCAAACTCCACCATGGATGGACGATACAAAGACAACCGCAGTTTTCCCGACGCAGAACCATTCTCTTTTTCCCTTTTCTGTTTCCTTCCATTCCTGCCCGCACTGCACAACCCACAAGAATGATCAAAACCCTCCGTAAAAAATGGCCCTACACCCAACTTCTCGTGTGCGAGACGGTCATGTTACCAATCGTCATTTTTGTATGGATTGTCACCCTTCCCTACTCGTTCTACCACTCGTCCCCGAACTGGGGCATACGAAAGAAGGACATGCCGCCCGTTCAGCTCTACCTGGACCACTTCTACCGCTTACACCCGGACCTTGTAGCTGGTCTTCACTCGAATATTGAGCGACTACTACCAATCACAAAAGACCCTTTTCTGCCCCAGAACACACGCTATTGGCCAACCGAATACCACTCCAACACAGGCTCGACAGCATTCACAGCGCTGTTCCCCATCCTCGAAGACGCAGGCTGGCCGCGGCGCGTCGTCTGGACTTTTCTACGGGACGAGGTGGAGAAGAATACGGTGGATCTAAAGCTAACCGAGGCCCAAAGGGGCGAATTCGCGAACGTGATGGAGAAAATGTGCAGTCATCATTTAGCCGGATATGCGGAGAAGTTGTTGCACAAGGTCTTCGGTGCGTGGAGGAATAAACAGGTTCGGAAGATGGTGTTTAATCTGGAGCCATTGACTGATCTGCACGCGGTGATCCCTGCGTCGCTGGACTCGCTGGACTGGGTGCTGCGACGTGGAAGTGTGGTCACGCCGAACCCAGCTGATGTGTGGGAGTCATACCATCGGTTATCTCGCTTGTCAAAGTTTTCAGCTATATGGGGGTGGGTCGGTCAGGGGAGGACTCTGGAGGAGGCGATAGGGACCCATTGGCAGATTTTGGATATGAGGTTAAAGATGTCTTGGGACGAGTAATCGTACTAACCGCCTTTTTTTTGTTTTCTGTTTTATGTCTATTTCTTATGTATGAACTCTACCCTCACCAAGTCAGCGCTGGGATGTTTGAGCATTTAAAGAGTTCACTGGCTGATCATGCCTTTTGCTTTGAACTCCCTCAAGAGGGAAATACCGAGTTCTATGGTTCCCCTACTCCATAACTCCGTAACTCCGTAGGCTTTGGGTACTGGAAGCCCAGACTGCTTTTAGTCAGGAAAATCCCACGGCTGCAGCAGACAAAATCATCAAAGAAAGTGAAAGAATGAGAAATCTCTTTTCCGCTTCACGTTGGAGAATAGGCTTTTGCGTTTTATTCATCGGCGAAACGCCCACACTGCTAGCACACTGTCACATCGCTGAAGTCTTGGCACTCTTGAACTACTAATCATTTTCAGGGGTGAGGAATGAAAGATTTAGATCGAAAGACTTCGCGTCCCATATGGATCGTCGTCAAAAGACCTGGAGCCCATATGGCTACTCAGCCATAGTGGCCGCCAGTTGACAGATTGAAGGCTGTGGTAGACTTGGAGCTGTGGACGTACGTCCAAAGTGGATCCGCGTCCACAGCCGCCAGACCGTGGCCTTTGAGTCTACTGTTCTGGGTCACGGGGCCCAAAACCAAAGCCTTCCCACCTCAGCTTCCCAACCACGGACCCACATCTCTAGGGTAGCAGATCGATCAGTTTTGCTGCATCCACTTGGACCCACATATGGGCAGTCACCCAATCGAGCTATCATCATCCTTGCTTGATAATTACCGTACGGTTTTATATTTACCCAACCACAACGCGAAGACTCCGATAAACTGTTTCCCCCAATAGGATCAAACGCGGACAAGGGGGAACCATCCCGCGATATTGGCGCCTTCGGAGCATATTGCAAAAGGATCTCGCCAGTATGATCTCTGGAACTCAGACCATCGACCGCAGGTTCCCAACCCCGCTGGCCCCCAAAAAAATCGTACCTGATGGATTTAAACTCACTGAACCTATGGGGTATCCGTGCCCTTCGCCCCACCCACTTTCGGCGTCTCATCTCGTCTCGCTAAACCCTTGCGTAGCATTTTGCTTTTCGCAAGCTCAGACAGTCCGCAGCCTCACAGAAAATCCTGCTCGAGAGGCTGAGGCCTCAGCCAGGCTTAGCCCCGCTCTTGGACAATTCTCAAAGCCGCTAAGCTAAGCTCAAAAGGCGCTCCTTGTGGACCATCACACTAAACTTGCCGCACCTGAGAGCCATGAGTCGGAACACAATGAGTGAGAATATTCCCCTTCGCCCCTTGTATCCTGAGTATACATGGGACGACCCGGACAATCATTCGGCTCCTCTGCAGCACATTATCCCCTTCGGACTGTCACCCTTTAACGAGCTGTTCTCTAGTCGCCATGGTCCCCCAGAACCCAGCCCAAACTCCAGCGAGCGATCCCTAAATTCAAAAGTTCCTATCCCTCGAGCTACACGTCCTATCAACCATACCAGCAGTCGCCGCGTCGGTCGTGCATGCGAAAACTGCCGTGAGCAAAAGCCAAACCCGCTTATTCCGTTTCTCAGATGACCATCTCTGTCCTTCTAACAATGCCTTTTAACCCCATGCCCGATAGCTCTATACTTGCCCTGTCTTTTCTTTTCTTTCTGCCCATATCTGCCTCCTCCTCTGTTCTCCACATACCACCGAGAATTTTGGGGTTGTATGCTGCCATGAAAACCTCCCCACGAGTCTAATGCTGAAAGTAGCAAGGTTTCATTTCCACATACTGGGGAGGATCCCGTAATGAAATGGCTTCTGTGTTCGTAGACCTGATGTAATATAATGACATACTTGTGAAGGGGAGAATTATTGAATTACCCCGGCCTTCGATAAGATCTCGAGTCTATTGTTGAGAATGTACTATATCGCGCTGCTATAGATCGTCGATTTGTTTTAGGTGCGCAGGGGGCAAGGGCAGCATACTCTGTCCACTTTTGTGAGCTTTGAACAAAAGGTTCAAAAAGTCCACCCGCTCCTCAGGCACGATGCCGTGTTGACTGCGAAGTTTTTGCCACAAGAGAAGATACCAATACGTGTCGTGTGGAAGACAATAAGCTTGTTGTACTTGTGGATCGAAATGAACTCGTCGCGATTTCGGCCTGGACGACGATACGTGGGAGGTTTCAATCTGCCCCTCTTTATCAATCAAAGTGCAATAAAGCCTATGAGAGCCGTGACAAACCTGACGTTCTGACAGGTTGGGTATAGGTACGTGTCGTGGGTGAAGAAGTATACTTCGGAGTGCGGAAAAGCCCAATTTGTTATAGCTAGAATCGTGGCCCTTCGTCGATAGTGAAAGCCTTGCATACTCTGTTGGGGCCATTTGACGACAAGGTATGAAAAATTCAGGTCCAGTAAAGTTTTTCCATGGTCCAAAAAGCCAAGTCGTATCGGTGTCCTTATCCCTATCATCGTACGCAGGTAAGTTAAACATTCATCCCTAGTACAATGAATGAAAGCATAAGTCATTACCATTGAATCAGCCGGGGCGTAGAGCATGGCAGATTTCTCTCTCTCTTAGCCCATGCTCTCCAAAGAGCATTTGAGAGTCGTGGGTAATTTTTCAACTGCGGTTTTCGTTGACGAATATAATATCTGGTGGCCCAAATATCCTCCGCCTTCCACTCAAAGGACAGGTAGTCGACATTTTGCGATGCTTCATGTTTAATGGCGAGGTCGTCGAGTATTCGTGTCATTTGGAACTTTTCAAAATCGGGGTTTAGATAAATTGTGAGACGGAATAATAGTAGCGATATATGATGTTGAAAAGTCGTGCTTCGGGCTAAGTAAGTGCCGGGTTCAGATCATGAAAATGAACTTCATGCGCGAGAACGTGATTTCATTTTCTGAGATAGATGTAGAAGTCTTGAACGGCCACGTTCATTTAAGTTGATTAATTTCGCTGTTGTTAGCCGAAAAAGGAGAATTCTCATGTTCCGCCGTTCTGTGAGCTTTTTAGCCCTTCGTGCCGGCTTGATGAAGGAATGTTCAGGTGAGACCTACATAAGATTGTTAGCCTACGAGTAGATAAAATTTGGTTATTATACCAATCGGAGTATCCAGACATCCTTCAGAAGGTGAAATAAAAGGGTCACTCAGGTCGACGGCGGGAAAGAGTTCTTAGAGCTTAGGCCCGCGCCTATTGAAATGCTCACAAGGGATGGAATAATTAGCCGCTAATCATCAAGCGATTTAGACTAGCTGACACATTCCTTGATGGGCTTTGAATTTTGGTTAATATTATACGTAGCGAGAGGCCCACTTCATATTCATCCATTACCCAACGCAATGATTGCAAGAGACAATTATTGCGTCAAGAATCCAAGAACACTGGAAGTCTCCTCTTTGAAACGTCTCTTCGGGCACTGTTGCCTCTTTCAGTTGATTTGCTTTACGCTTAGTAGTCTTAGCTCAGGTAGTTATTCGTAGGAAGGCAGTTGTAAGATTAGCCTGCCATATGAGCCTGGAATCAGCTCTGGGCACATGGTAAGGCACTAATGATTTTGATTTCTGAATTAGGTGCAGGAGATAAATTTTGGTGATAAACTTGACTAGGCCGAGGTCTTATGTTTGCTATCTTCTCCCGAATTAGAATGTGAAATTTTGCTTTAAAGTTCCATTGCCGCACGCTAACGGTGGTCTTAAAATCGCACGCGGAGTTCAACATAGTTTTTTTTTTGACGCCAGCTGAGGGTGCGCTTTGCCCCTTTCTGATATTTGGAAGCTATTTGGAAAATGACAGCCATGTTGATCTCATGTGGCATTGGCATGTCACATACCTTTCCCCCTTAAGGGCGTAAGCGGAGGATCGACGTAGTATCGAAAGAAGTGCCAAAAAAGGACGGAACAGGGAGAAGAAAGGGGCAGAACTGCCCTTCTCTGGTATATTGTTATAAATGATTACTTCCCCCTCCCTCTAACGCCAAGCGAACCTTCTTGCTAAAGTCCATTGATCAACTTGCCAGACTAAAAAGACTCACTAGGACATCACTTGTTAACCTCGCTTTTTCCATCATGGCCTGGAACCAGGGAAAAAATATAGCACTTAACTTGGGCTCGGAAATGCCACAAGCTGCAACTTCAGCGGTGCTATATTTTACCCGCTGTTTCTTGCGCTTGGCTGCTGTACAGCTCGTTGTCACTGTCCAGACCGTTTACGAAAACATAAGTGTGTTTCTCTTATCTTTCACTATATGTCGGCTCTGTGCAATTAGTGTACTTCTTCCTGTCTATATTTTACAAGTCTCGTCTCGTCTTCTTCCAACGGTTCTCGGAAATATCCGGTGTCTTATTTTGCCATGGAATAAGCTCATCGAAGACACTGAAGCTTACAGGAGGCAGTGGGCGATGCAGGCACAACTTCAGCTAGAGGGAAAGTATATTTTCCGAGATGATGAGATTGTTAGAGTCGACCGATCTGGGAAGCAGTGGATGAACGATACTCCATGGCATGACAACACTGAAGAGTTTCTTGTCTGTGGCGCAAGAGTGAGATTTGTTCATTTAAGACCAGCTGCCATCGATAGCAGCAGGAGTGGATGTTTGCAGAAGAGGCCCATCTTATTTCTACATGGAAGTCGGAGCTGGAGCTATATGTGGAGAAAGGTGTGTTGGAATTCGATACTCCATTTTGTTCAGGTGATACTAGGCCTAGGCGGACGTCAGCGATTACAACAGGCTAAACCCTGAGAAGTGCTAATGTTTACCCATATACAGATTATGACCAACCTTCTCGAAGAGGGCCATGAGCTTTATGCCCTAGATTGGCTCGGCCAGGGACGAAGCGACAAACCTACGAACTGCGAGTCTATTACATTTGAGTTGCACATGCGGACGTTAAGTGCCTTTGTCAACCATGTGCAGCTCCGAGACGCCGTGCTGGTAGCACACAGTTGGGGTGGGTAAGTAAACTTTTCATTTCTTTGCTCTCCGCACAGCAGACCCGTACTCCTCACCTATTTCGTCCCTTACTGCCGGGGCTTTTTGTACAAGTAGTAACGATATTTCAGTTGTGTGGCTCTATGCTCTATCCCTCACCTTCCCTCGTCATCGTGCAGTGGCCTCTTCCTCATCAATTCATTCTTACCGCATCGACCTCACGAGATGAGTCGAAACTGTTGTCTTCTCTACGGAGTCTGGTTTCTCTTGACTAGAGTCTTAGATGGTTATGTGTCTGAATCCACTATCACGCGATTCATATCTCCAGAAATTTTGGAGGGAGATGTTGAAGGCTATGGCGCACCTTACCGGCACCTACCCGCGAACGCTAGACCTAGCGTCGAGCATTTTGCACATGTAGGAACTGGAATACCGCATTTTGTTCTGAGAGATCTTCGTGAGACACCGCTGTGGAAGATATTTGAAGCTATTTGTGGTCCAAGAAACTTCAGTGACCTGAACGCGTTGGCACTTCTATCAGAAAGGGATGACAATGCGAGACGGTACTGGCAAAAGAACCGACGAGATGATCTGAATGAGGCCACAGAGAGCAGGCTAAAAAGTGTTGTGGTATTTGGAGAGCGTGATCCATTGTCGAAAAATTACAAGGAGACCCTTGTACATGTCATTGGCACGAATAACATGGCGGAGTGGGCACCAAATGGTATCTGGCTCCAAAATGCAGGTCACTACCCCATGCAAGATAAGCCAGAGGATGTTGCGCAATTGATAGCTAGATTTGCCTAGTCGACTAACTCGAGGAATTTTTTTTTTAATTCTCTGAAATTGTGTCCCCTCCTCGTCTTTTAAGCTGTATGGGTGTCACGAATACAATACAAAAAGGTATGACTCATTAGATAAATACGAGTTGCATTGGCAGCAGCCGAAGGCGGCTGCGACGTGGTGCGCTCGGTAGGATACCTCCTCCGTCCAGGAGAAGTGTTCACAGGATGCTCACAAGCTAAAAGCCAGAAGATACGCATGCGCGGGTCGGCCAGGAACAGGAGGCGGCACCATTGAATCTGCGTGCAGGGTCGGCTTTTCTGACCCTACGGAAGTTCTTCTTCCTCTCTTCCCCTTTCTGTATATTTATATACTGTAGTGGGGGGTCTGATGACAAGTATCGGACTTGGCCATTATCGTTTTGCAGCTTTGTTTGTTTGGTTTGTCTGGGGAATTTCTGCAGAAAAAGGGTGACAGAGAACAAAAAAGGGAGGATAGGATATACAACAACGGAGATGAAGAATACACGAAGCTAAGAGTACCTTGACCATCTATGGGGTATTTCAACCTGCCCCATCATATTCGTTCTTTTCTTCAATCAATCAACCTTCCCATCCAAGATTGGTTCCGCTTGACCTCATCTGGTTGCCTATTCGTCCAAGAGGATTACTAGCCCATACTATCTCAGCTTGCCCCGATAATTTCTTATTCGATTCCGTGGGTAACTCCGGGTGTGGCTCACTTAGCTGCCCAAAATGGAAAAGCGCGGGAAAGCAATAGGTAGGTTTTACCGTTTTACCATTTTTCCAGAATCACGTGACCGAATATTTCTATACAGGGCCTAAAAACTAGTACGGTTTATTGGTTGGTCTGGTCGCGCGTGCGGCCGGCTCGCCCGTGAATTACATTAGAACCTAATTCCTGTAATGGGGCTGACGCGAGAGATCGCCGATTTGTCTATTGTGCGCTGTATCGTTCGATGCGGCGTTCCGCCCCGTGGGACGGAATACGATTGATTGCCTGCTCTAGACGATCTAGTATGCAAAAGTTTGCGTCCAAATCTCCCTCGACTAAATATGTGAAGGTGGAAGCAACTGTGGCATATTCGCTGTAGGCCTCGCCACCTCGCCACGACCTGCAGGTGTTCCAGATGACCCTGACCGTGACCCTGAATATGCGGATCATGGGTCATAAGATGGGATAGAACCTGGGCCGCCGATGACGACGAACAATCCTCGCGTGGTTTAACGACCCGGTTAAGTATGACAAATCATCCTACATAGCCCGCTCTACATAGCCCGCTCTACATAGCCCGCCAGCCTATATCGGCCTGGCTACATAGTCCTGGCTACTGGTCCGCCAGCCTACATAATCCTGGCTACATAGCCAGCCTACATAACCCACCAGCCTACTTGTGGTAGAAATCCCCTGGGGGAATTTGCCCTTGAGCATCAAGTTCCCCCAAGGTAAGTTGTACCTGAGAAAATTCGTTCCTGGGTTTCAACGTCCTCGAGGGTATTTGCCCCTCAGGATCCTTGACCCTGAGGAATAGTTGCCCTACGGTCATATACTCCGGCGAGAGTTCATTCCTGCGCTCCAGGGACCTGGTAGCGAGGTACTCTCAATGGTATTTGCATGCACGAAGCGAAAAACAGATTTTGTCCATGTTCTAGCACTCAAAGCGAGAATCAAGGTGATAATAAATAATAAATCATATAGCAAGGCCGGATAGATACAAAACTGCATATAGACAATGTGATTTCAAAAGCCATAGATTCTATCGCTCTATCCTTTTGCCACACGGAGGTCCTTTTTACTTCTTTCAACTGGTTTTGGATAGTAGGAGCCCTAGAGGAGTCAGGAAAGTTCAAGCTACGGAGAGTTTGGAGAGACCGAGAGAACATACTAATTGAGACCTGAGGAATGACCAAAACCCCGATGAGTCTGCAGAGAAAATAAATACTTCTCCTGACTCTCGAATCCGTATGCCCAAGCAGACATCCGCCCCACACATTTCGCTATACTGTTGCAACTTATTTTCTAGGGTCATCTTCCGCCGGTCTCTTTTCTGTCGAAATGATTTCTTCGTACTAGAAACCTTCGATTGTTCGCGCGGGGTCTCCGCCATCATGATTGTGAGATAACGAGTTCGATCGAGTTAAAAAGGGAACAGCAGGTTCAATGCTACGTATTTATAGCAAGCACTGGGGATGAAAATGGCAAATGAGATAATGTTAAAATGCGAAAATATGCCTTTTGGTTCCTCAGAAGGCCACGGTTTCCCCCTCGAAGACCACGATATGACACCGTAATTGTTTCAGGGCCAACGGACCACGATCTTGTCTCCATGACTGAGTGGCATAGTATGCGAATCTAGCAGAAGGTGAGCCGGAGGTGAGCTTGAGGTGAGAGAGGGAGGGCATGGTAATTGACGCCGCGGACGCTTGGCACCTTTTCAATGTTGTTGGCCTGGGTGGAACAAGCCAACCAATCAGCTTTAGCTGATGAGTTACTGTCAACGTGGCCCGTTCTGCTGAAGACAAGACGGACAAGAGAGACCCCGACCCTTGAGTGCCTTTAAAGTACCAAGAATGGGTAGGTACCACAAGCTGACATAACATCGCACAGCCTCCAGCTCCAACCTGGGGTAACTGAAAAAAAACCTTAGAAGACATAGTATGCCTGAGTCAGCGGTAACTCGGCTGCAGGCTCCGCGTCACACAACATGCCATCAGCCTCGACAGTCTAGACAAACCCGAATATTAGCTAAATCCCTTCCCAGTCAAGATCCAGCTCATTGCAAAGAACCCTTTGGTACAACTGGCGCGCAAGGCAAAATCTTTGTGAATTCCAACTTACATAACTCTCCGGGTCAACCTTCATCTTCGGCATGGCATCATTGAACTTCATATCCTTCTTGCCGATGGTACGGCAACCCTTGACGGCCTCGATGCGCTTGCGCAGGCCATAGCTCTGCACGGTGCCATTGTTGATGGAAGCTTGCGAGACGAACATGATCGAAGTACTCGGCACGCGGGTCTATTCATCCTCAGTACAGTCGACAGAATTGAAAGGCAGGGTGGGAGCAAAGGTAAAAATACATACGGCAAACATGGGGCGAACAATCCTAGGCTCGACCGTCGGGATCGAGGCATTAGGATCACCCTATACGCCAATTAGAAAAGCAAATCATAGTCACGAGAAGAAACAGGACATACCATCTCCGCAACAGCAATCATCCCACTCTTCAATACCTGGACAGGCTTCGTGCCAAACGTGCTAGGATTCCACAGCACCAAATCCGCAACCTTACCCACTTCCACACTCCCAATCAGATGGGCCATACCCTGCGCCAGCGCCGGATTAATCGTGTACTTGCTGATATACCGCTTCACTCGGAAATTGTCATTATCTGTGCCCCGGTCCTCCCCCAACTTCCCGCGCTGCGCCTTGTTCTTGTGTGCGGTATGCCAGGTCCGCAGGATGACCTCGCCGCAGCGGCCCATGGCCTGCGAGTCTGACGATATCATGCTGATTGCGCCGAGGTCGTGCAGCACGTCTTCGGCTGCGATGGTCTCGGCGCGGATGCGGCTCTCGGCGAAGGCCACATCTTCGGGGACGTTCTTAGATAAATGGTGGCAGACCATCAGCATGTCCAGGTGTTCGTCTAGCGTGTTCAGGGTGAAGGGTCGGGTTGGGTTTGTGCTGCTAGGGAGCACGTTAGGGTGCTCGACGACCGAGATTATGTCTGGTGCGTGGCCGCCGCCAGCGCCTTCCGTGTGATAGGCGTGAACGGTACGGCCCTTTAAGGCTTCGATTGTTTGCTCGACGAAGCCGGATTCGTTCAGTGTGTCCGTGTGGATCATACATTGCACGTCGTATTCGTCACAGACGGCCAGACAGTTATCGATGGCGGCCGGGGTGGACCCCCAGTCTTCGTGTAGCTTGAGGCCGGCGGCACCGGCCTTGATTTGCTCTTCAATGCTAATGGTACCGCAGTCGTTACCTTTTCCTGTAATGCCGATGTTGATGGGGAGGCTGTCGCAGGCTTGCATCATGTTCTTGAGGTGGTTGGGTCCCGGGGTACAAGTCGTCGCCTTCGAACCGGTGGAGGGGCCCGTGCCGCCAGCAAGGAAGGTGGTGATACCAGATGCCAGCACTTCATCCACTTGCTGCGGACAAATCAGATGAATATGCGAGTCGAAGCCACCGGCCGTGATGATCTTGTTCTCTCCGGCAATCACATCTGTGGACGCGGCCACCACCAGGTCCGGGTGCACTCCATCCATGACATCAGGGTTACCTGCCTTACCAATGCCAGCAATCATGCCATCCTTGATACCAATATCGGCCTTGTAGATACCAGTGTAGTCGATAATCAGAGCGTTGGTAATCACCGTATCCACGCACTCAGCCGCCGAGCGTCCCGATGCTTGCCCCATTCCTTCACGGAGAGTCTTGCCTCCACCAAGGGTACACTCGTCGCCATAGCTGTTCATATCCTTCTCCACCTGAACCCACAAATTGGTCAACCCCAGACGCACCAGATCGCCCGTCGTAGGGCCAAACATGCGCGAATACGCCTCGCGCTCCATCGAGAACCTGGCGATCAGCGCGCTGTCCGCCGTTGGTTCCGGGACATGCGCAAACCCGGCCACCTGCAGCTTGGTGACAATCTCATCAGCTCGACTCAGATCCACGGGCCCATTGGCCAGCCAATTGCCTCCGCGGATAACCTTGTGACCAGCAATCTCGACCAGGGTAACGGTCTTGGTATCTCCAGGCTCGAAACGGACAGATGTGCCGGCGGGGATGTCCAGACGGAAACCGTAGGATTGCAAGCGGTCGAAATGCAATTGCGGATTCGTCTCGATGAAGTGGTAATGCGATCCGACCTACCGTTATCAGATCATCTTTAGCCTTCCCGGCCTCATCTAGCAGCTAACTGGACTGCACAGCCCTGTACAACCCCAATCTGCTCCGCTCTACCTACCTGAATCGGCCGGTCCCCCTTGCTCATAACCTTCAAACGAATCCGTTTCCGCCCATCATTCAGCACAATCCGAGCGTTTTTGGCCAGAATCACCGCGCCGGGCATTTTCTCAGGCCTATAATCCTCCGGATCCGGGTCGGGGAAGGCCTCACGCCGAGGAATGGGCAGGAAACTCCCATACAGCGCACGCTCCAAATCGCCCTCATCACTACTAATCGGATGGTGCACCGTGACCAGGTACGTCCCAGACGGGAACGTACCCTCCACCTGAAGCTCCTCCAGTGTAGCTACGACAGAGGGTAAGACATGGCGGCGGCCCAGCATCGTCTTGCCGATGGACATCAAATCGGCGACGGAGTAGTGTCCATCACGAATCAGCTATACAGTGTAACCACATTATTCACCCCAACCTCCATTGGCACTTAGCACAGGGCCATCACAATCAACCCTGAAAAAAGGTGCGATCATACCTCGTGCAGTACACTGGAAATCAAAGCCTGCAAGACACAACAGCGAAAAAACCAACTGTGTCAGTGACGTGCCCGGCAAAACACAACCTTCAACCCCCAGGTTAAACGAACGTACCACCGCCTCCACATGATTCAGCCTAACACCCCTCGCCAGACGACGCTGCGCCAGGAACCCAAGATGTGCGATCGTGAGCTTGTCGAGCTGTACGAATTACATATCAGCATCATTGTTCGCCAATCTTGGTTGTTCAACCTACCTCCTTCGGAACAAGCTGCATAGCGCAGGTGGAACCCGGACTTGGCGTACGGCAGTAGGGGACCGTTATCGGGGAGAGGGGTTGGGGATGGGGTAGACAAGGAGGAGGGGAACAGGAGGGTATATAATAAGCAACGAGCTCGAGGACAGAGATTAGGATACAAATTGTCGCAAATGTCTCAATTTCCCGTCGGAGACGAAAGGAGGAGAATGGAATTGAGAATGTGGGGTGCCAGTCGGGAGTTGTAGTTCCTTTTAATCTTTTTTTCCTCTTCGCTTTTTCCCGTCAACTGTCGTGGCCGCGATAAGAGCACAGAGGCCAAAGATAAGTATGGTTGGCGATAGAGGCACTCCGGACAAACCCCAATTAGGGATAAGATCGGCGACGAATCGAACTGGCAGAAAATTTGAAGCCTGCCTGGACGCAGATTCATAGATCTATTACATGACTGGCCTTGTGGCTCTCGATATGTGTCTAGTATGTATAGCGAGCCACACGGGCCAAAAGACGGTTTTCCTAAATCTACTGGTGCCCCAGATACCCAGACTTTGCCGCCTCCTCAGTTTGGGAGGTTAGTGAAAAAGGCAATACTGTAAATGGCGAACAGCTCGCACTGGCCGCCAAATCCGCCAATGATTCAGGTTCTTTTCACTTCTCTAGTTTTATCACTACTGAAGTATTGATACTGAGAGAGCGGCTACGCATAGGAAGCAGAGGGAAGGCGAGAAGATATCTGTGTTCGAGTATCTATCTTAGAAGGACGAAGGAGGGAAAGGGAAGAAACGCAAAGGAGAGGCCTAATATAGGTCTCAAGCGGAAACATCCAGCAAACGCTGGTCCTGGAAACATCCGCGGGATCATCCAGGGAGGAAATCTCCATCAGATCCCTTTGTAGCATTAGAACCACGTAGCCTATCTAGGCTAAGTTTAGAAAGCACTGGGTACTTCGTATGGTAGTCTATTTATAGTTAGCCTCTACGGCTTCTCTTGTTTTATTACTACTACTGCAGTGTTAATACTTCCGACAGTAGTCCCTAGGGGCCAAATTTGGATTTTTCTCTAGTTTTAATAATACTTTAGTTTTAATACTAATAGAGTCAGTCTGATGACTCAGGGTTTTTCACCTCTTATTTTATTACCACTGAAGTATTGACACCTCAGTAATATATATTAAAACCACAGAGGTTTCCAAAATTATAATGTTCTGGATTGTTCCAGTATGTTTAGTCAGCTCTCTAGACCCAATAATCATGGAGTTGTCCGTTGCCAATTTTACATTAATGCTATAACGAAGTCCTTTGACGCCCTTTTGGTTCCGTTGTTAATCCTCTAGGCCAATGGGTCTCTATTCATAGGGGCTCTAAGTTCCTTAGAGATATGGGCAACGCTCCAGACCTGCGACACTGACTGTCACTCTACGCCCGGGCTGTGCTTGGCTGGACTCGTAGTATGGCAACGATTGCTTGCCCCTCAAAGGGCTTGTTCGCAGTTTGCAGTTCGCGGTTCTGAATAGCAATTTAGTTACAATATCCCACTTACTTACTTCGTACACCCTCTGGGGAAGTTAGTTAACTATGAGGTTCAACCACCGGTGGGTGACCTGAACGGAGTACTCTGTCACAGCAGCATGTTTAATTATCTTCCTGTAAACCAATCATCAACTGGATGTGGGGTCTGGACCGTAGAGGCGTCACTGCGTCATTAGTGGTCCCACGGTCTGCCAGAGTCCCCTCTCTGGCTAGAGTCCCCTCTCTGGCTAGAGTCCCCTCTCTGGCTAGAGTCCCCTCTCTGGCTGGAGTCGTCAGTCCGGCTGAGCAGTCCTGACTCCTGCGACTCCCGTGATAAGATGGCTACGCTTATCTTGGCTTCGGGAACGACTAAAATTCGTCTTGCTCGCTTCTACTTGCACATGCTCTTCGCACGCTCTACAGGTTCTTCTTGTATCCAAAATGGCAGAGAAAGGAGGTTTGCTTCTGTTGGTATCACCAGCTAGGTACTGTGTACACAGTTAAGTGGACAGTGTCTTGTGTTCCTTAAGTAAACGATTGATTGATGTATGTTGATGTAGATTTCTTTGTTCTAGTTGGAAAACACCCCTGGATCCTACACGCCGGCACTCGGCGGTCACAACACCGGAGTCAATGCTGGCGCAGGAATGTGCCAAGCTCGGGAATGCTGTCTATTGTCCCGACAGCTTCACTCATAGGAGAAATGACCCTCAACTTGTATGAGGAACGCAGGGAAGCCGAATGTCCGCCACTTCGTAATAACTATCCGTGCCTTTCTGCCCACCCACCGCTTTCGCTTGTGGGTGCGCCCTAAATCCCCGTCATCCCGAAATCCCCGTCGCTTTTTGAAGAAATCGTCAAATTTATCAGCGAACTAGCTAGTTATCAATAAAAAATAGCTCTCCTGCCTCTCTAGCCTCTCTCTCGCGTATAATCGCCCGTTGAATACTATCCTCTGATCTCTGCGTGGGTTCGTAGCCATACATTTTCTTGAACTGCTTGGCTAGCTTCCTTTCCTCCTTCGCCATCTCTTCTTCCTTCCTGGCTACAATTGACCGATTTGCATCGCGAGTAGTCAATATACCAGTTGCACTAAGCAATTTGACCTGCCGCTTGGTGTATTTGCGTTTTACCCTAATTGGCTGATTATACGTTGGATCACCTGCGACACTTTTCTTGGTCCCCTGCGACTTCCAAAACGGACCCCTGCAACCAAAGCGGATACCATACTACCGAAGTGGATTCCTGTGATTACTAAAGCGGTACCTACGAGGAGCTAGTTACTACACGGCTCACTGGAGCCACTGCGACACGCCTTGTGTTCTGCGACACGTTTTTGGCTCTGCGACACGCTTTTTGTTCTGCGACATCCTTTTGGTTCTTGTTTCCGATATAGCTCATAACTTATGTAGTATTGGTATTCGAGAACTGTCATGATGAATCGTGGTCGCTTTCAAACAGATGTTCACGATGCTAGGTATTTTCTGCCTGAAGAAGAAGAAGAAGAAGAAGAAGAAGAAGAACTAGAGGACAACACTAGATTTGAGAAGATAGAGTAAGCGTGAGTAGGGCGTCATAAGTACAACAAAACCATCGGCCGGTGAGCGCCGCGTCCCCCTTGAGCCGCATGTCCCTTTTTGAGAATCCCCACCAGGCAGACAGGATGGCAATGATTGCTTTTACCCTCTAGTCTTTCTTGCACTGGGAGTGTCGACTGTCGAGTGGCAGATCGCTTCTGGTTAACTCTTCTATATGTAAACGTTACGGCGAGGAAGTATGTCTAGAAGATAGTCTTCTATGATCACATAGTGTCTGTAGAGTAACTGTAGAGTACCGAGAGCTTGAGACTGTTGGTATACAAAAATCTCTGATAAAGGCAGAGTTTCCTGGAATACTTATTGATTGGAGGATTCCGCAAGGGGCTCCGGCGGGACTGTAGGCTCCAGCAAGATTGAAGACTCCGACGACTCCGGCAGGATTGACGACTCCGGCAGGATTGACGACTCCGGCAGGATTGACGACTCCAGCAAGATTGAAGACTCCGGCAGGATTGAAGACTCTGGCCAGAGAGGGGACTCCGGCAAGATTAACGACTCCGGCAGGATTGACGACTCCGGCAGGATTGAAGACTCCGGCAGGACTGTAGACCCCAGCGGGACTGTAGACTCCTGCAGGACTCAAGACTTCCCGCAGGAGTACCGGTTCCGGGCATATTCGAGCTGACATCACAACGGCAACTTTCCCACTAAGGGTACCAAGAAGCACATCGGTGCCTTTGCACCCGTCAAACTGAGGGAAAGCAATCGACGATGGCAAGGGTACCCAATTGCGGCCAATCCCGCAGGGATCAACCATGAAAATTGCACCTGTAGTACCGGACGGAGACGCGCAATCACAATCACGTGAGGACACATCACATCGGCCAGACAATTTATAACTGTTTTACGAGTTGCGTTGGCAGCGGCCTTGCCGATGCTACGCGAAGGCCGCTGCTACGTGCCGCAATGAGCAGCATAGCAGCGAATTTCCCGTCGGCCTCGGCTGCCACTAGGCAGGTTGGCAAGAATGTGAGAGAGGCGGAATTATATTCTTCAAAAGCTATGTACAGTAAATTCCTTGTAGATCCCGAATCCAGTAGATTGCCGGCAACCCGTTATTGTCAGAAACGTCTTCATTGTTTAGTCAGTCGAGCGCCTTGGGCCAGGGGTTCATAAATATGGTGTGACTGAGCGTAGTTATGGTGGCCTGGAGTCTGCTCCAACTGATACACATTCTTATTGAACTGGGATGTTTGGTAGTATAGCTCATTCAGCTTCTGTGCATGACGTTTATTCTGTTCCTCGATGCGATCGGTAGTAGACCTAGAATAAGGGTGTTAGTCCTATTTTTCCAAGGGAGGCAGACAGAGGACAGACCATATGAAAGTGCTTAAGACGAGACTGATCGAATCCGTATGGGATTGAAGCTTCTGTCGGTATTTAGTAAGGGAGTCGCCTCGTAGATCCCACAAAATCCTCTTCCATTGGGCCCTGACTTGGGCCCTGACCAGCGGAGGGTCGTCGGCCGCTGCACGATATTTGGCCGTGGCATTATCGAGCTCCTCTAGTGTCTTCTGGCAGGACTTGATCATGTACCCCAAGGGTTGATTCGTCGGCGGTGTAACAATGTTGGGCCTGGAAGTGGCGCTGGCCATGATAGCCTTATGCTTTACTTGCAGAAGGTCTAAGGCATAGCAGAGGCCGAAGAGTGCGTCCTGGAGCTCTTTGAGGTCGCGAGGCGCTTTGTTGCGTCCTGCAGTGACGGAAGAGAAAAGGCGATGTGCTATCCGGGCGCAGAGAATAATGTCTCCGATCGAGAATCCAAACGGCATAATGAAATACTCCGATATGCACCAGTTATAGGAGATTGGTGAGCAAAATAGTTCGTGGAAATATCAATAATAACGTGGCATTAATGACCGAGCGGAGTGAGATTGTGAAATGAACATGGAACATCGCTGGGGGTTTAAGTTCACAGGGGATACGGGGATGCCATGACGTTTTGCAGCGCTAGCAGTGGGGCCCCTGGTCCACTGTACTGCGTACTTGGGCTAAGGCGGGAAGTTTTCATGGCCCGATTACTGCCGATCTCTTTCCCCGCTAGTCCTAGTCAGGACTAGGGGTATTCTCGTGTACGATACGTGAGGGACGGCCACCCCATTCGGATCCACTGATCTGCCGGGAGTTAGAGAAAAAAATCTTTATAATGCAAATGATTGGCCACAGCTGCAGCGGGCACAGCCACATACTGGGCGGATACACTGTGGCGTACCCCTAGTTGCACCAGCCACGGCCCGGAAGGATGTGTATAGCAGTTTCGTGTAAAATACATTGTTCTAGGTCTCACTCACGTCGTGTAAAATACAATGCCTATTCTAGGAAGCGGTCTATGATGCGGGAGATCGACGGCCATACCATATTAGGACTAGTACATTCAGATTAGGGTTCGGGAAATAATTCGAGAGAGCATGGGAGGTATAACTGATTTCGAATATCGCTATATGTGTGATGCAAAAGCGCATTTTTCAAGGTAAAGCGAAAAGAATGGGTTTTGTCGCCAGTTGACACCCGGCTCAGCCAGCCAATGTGCCTGGGTTCGTGAGATCAAAAGACTTGTGTCCCATATGGACCGTCGGCAAAAGACCTGGAGCCCATGTGGCTACTCAGCCATAGTGGCCGCAGATTGAAAGCCCTGCTAGACCTGGAGCTGTGGACGTACGTCCAAAGTGGGTCCGCGTCCATAGCCGCCAGACCATGGTCTTGAGACCACTGTTCTGGGCCACGGGGTCCAAAGCCTAAGCCTTCCCACCACAGTTTCCAACCACGGACACATATCTCCAGACGTGAAGCCTGCCTGGACGCAGATGCAGACAGATTACAGCTGTATTCTCTATCGAGGAAGTTCGCTTGAGCTCTATCACGGGAGACGATTCAAAGGTATATTCGGGGTCATCCAAGAAGCACAGAGACGCTATACTTAGAAGCATAGGTCATCAAGGATGTAGAGATCAGGGTTGGACGACCTCTCAGTCAGAATGGCGGGAAGGGAGGTCCCTTAGTTTCATTATCTGATCTCTTGATCCATATATAACATCCCCGAGTAGTGTATGCGCGTCAAACTACCTCAAGATCTCGATCTGTTACTGGCTTCGGGGTTGGATAATATGAATTCTGGGGGCATTAGTGGACTTTCCATCAGATAGCATTGCCGACGTACTAGCTGAGAGCCAAGAAAGGCCCAAAATCCCGAAGCATCCGCCGAAAGAATATATACTTGGCCCGTCTCTGGGAGGATAGTGAGAGATGGCCAAGGTCCGCTAGTTTACTTTGGGATTTTATCAGATTATCCCTGTCGATGATGGTATCGTATTCTGCAATTGGTGACCGGGGATCTAGCCGATTGTATTCGTTTGTATTGATAATACTCCCGACACCTTTATGCTTCACCTCGAAATTCATCGTTCCTTGGTATTCTGAATGCTATTTTCGGCGACATTAGCAGTTTTACGAAGAAAATACGGATCCATGATAATTTCCTTTTGTGATGTGTTGACGTGGCTAGTGCAAGGCCGGCATGCAGGTCTGACCGTAGAGGAGATTTGATGCAACATGACAATATGTACAGTAGGATCGACCCAGACGGTCTGATTCAGCCCGTTCACTCATCACCTTCGCTATGATTCAGATAACCTGCTAACGTCATCTTATCACACCCCAACCAGCGCTTCAGTGCCGGAAGTTGCGTTGCATGATTACGGAAGCTCGGAGCGTTGATTGTTGGAACCTCTCCTCTATACATATTATCATCAACGACAACTTTGATCTCTTCGAGTGATTCGCGATGCGGTAACAATGCCTCCACAAACTCAGCCACTGTTGCGTGGTTACTTTCCGCGTTCTTGAGCTCATGGTGCCAGTAAGAATCTACATGGCAAATACTGAGATAGCGTAATGCACGCGGAGCAAGTAAGGCTTTCCTTAAAGCAGAAAAGCTCACAAAGCTGCGCTCGATACGCATGGATTGAAGCTCCGTCTGACGTTCAAATTGTGAGTCAATCTCGCCATCGCAATCCTCGAACATAAAACCACGTATTGTGAGATCATGGAGTTGCGGGATGATGAAGATGTACGAGTAGTGAAGAAACGCTGCTTGTCCATTGCGTTCAGAGCGATCAAGGGTTACTAATAGATAGATTGTTAGTTCTTCTCCAATATTTATTTATAGATATCGGTGACTTACATGATCGAAGACTCTTAGCAACTCTCGATTCCCCAGGTTGTTTTAGGCTCGCCCTTTTAAAATATTCCCATAGGCAATCTTCGAGGGTATCCCAGTTCTCCTCTTCAGTGTCCCACATCCAGTAGCCACCAGCTAGCTTGAGGCTCTGCAGATTCTCTAGTTTTTCGAGACATGGTACAATTCGACAAGGAGAAATTTCGAGTTCGTCATTTTCGATCACGACTGTGACATGACGGACTAAATCGGCATATTTAGTTTTGACTGTCCGGACAAATTCGTTGCTTTTGCCTAGTAGGATGTTTGCATATTTGTAAAGATGCGGTGTTGTCAAGAGATTAAGGGTATGGCATGTTTGTGCCAGTGCCGTATAGCTGGGGCTATCGACGTACTCTATCAGAGTAACCAAAAGCTCGTTAGGGAGCCTCATTAGCATGGACCTTTCCATCGTGAAATGCAGTTAGCTTTCTTGTGCAGATTAATGATTTGACAAGAGATGTAGACGGTGAATTGATAGGTTCCTAGTAAAACAATGAGTCACAACGCTGACAACACGTGGCTCAATTTCTCATACAGTCTAGCGGGCCTTGGCAGGTGGGCCCGAGAAACAGTCGAAGAGTGTACAGTGGCACCGCAAAAGTTTGTGGTGTGCCAGGAGCTGTTCTACCGACAATATTGCATGTTCCTTGCCTTGGCAAAACGCTATCAGGTAGACTCGAGGGGTGGATGTATCTTACCAACTGGGTTGAGATTCCAGAAGTCATAGAACCCTTCAATTATTTGACAGGCTCGCGGGATAGATTCACCTAGCTCCAAGGCAAGAATGGCGTCATCCACCGACAGCTATGGGGGCTGTGTGCCATGGGTACTAGATGGGTTATTCTTTCGTTCGCCAAATTACTCTACTAGTCTCCAGAACGAAACACAAATCTACAGCCGTAACCAGAATTCAATAGATGACCATAGTTACACTTGCCGAGTAAGTTTGAACTTTTCCAAAATTACTATCCAACCTTCTACAATGTTTAATATCTTGGCATCTTCTTCGACCCAGCTCGCCATTCATGCCGTGTTGGTTTCAACATGTTCTGTGGGAAATCATACTCTTCCGCTTATTCTGTCATTTGCTGTCGCAAGCTCCATCTCCTCCACACCCATCTTGTCTGAAAATACCAGTCACTTTCTACACGTCCGCCGCTTAAGAATTGACGCCCCAGTCCATCTTACTCGGTTCAACCGCTGTGCACATCTTTCGGGCAGTCGGGTTGGCCGCGGATCTTTTATCGGACATTAGAACTCTCGACAATGCAGTTCTTGGAGGACACTGGGGATCAACTTCACTTGGCCTTTGACCACCTCAGTCCTGGTCTCCTTCGATCGTGCGCGTGCGTATCAATCATCCCATATCATAACTCGTCGTCGTCCTAATTGACCACGAGGTGGCCTTGGGGCACCTACCTCCTACCCAGCGTGTCAGGTAAAGAGGGATACCTAATCCGATATCACAAATCTTGTCCACCTTTCGTTGCCCACGAATGGCTTCTGTTCCCATGCCAGAAAACACTCAAATGGTCTGTACCGATTGTCTCCCCTAGAAGCCATCGAATGGGAAGCTATCCAGCATTCGACTGAGGTGATTCGACTGAGGTGGAACTGCAAAAATGCATCCAAACCAAACGCGCTTGAAAACACTTTCAATTGGCTTCACCGCATTAGCTGTTCGACCGACCAGATTTCTCCCGTCGGGTGTTTGGACGGCAAGGGTTCGCGCTCGAGGCCACAACACGCGTGTGGGCCCGCCCCGCATTTTTGCCCTCTCTGGTAGGCCCGACGCTCTCCAACGCATATTTGCAGAAAAGCCTGCCGCCAAACGCTTTGTTGACTTGGCTGGGTGGAGATCCTTGAAGTCGCGCGACCGTGTAAACTCTTGCGAGTTTAGAAGCGCTGTCGCGCTTGCAAAACAAGCCTCAGCTGCGGTGCCTTCGAGCTCTGTAGCGACAATTCGGCGGTTGACCCGAACAAGGCAAATTGGGGTCGGTTGTTACCTTTTACTTTCCCTTCGGGACTTCTAGCATCTCTACTTAAAACTTGTCAATTTGCAATGCCCACGAAATAGAAGCCGTGATTCGGCACCACAGCCAGACCTTGAAGACTCTTGTCTACTGTATACCGAGAATCTCTCACCGATTGATAATGAGAGACTGTGGTGGGATACTGTTACTGTACTCAAGACTTCTGTTCGTCATTGATATTCGACCGAGCAGAGCTGAAGCATCTCAATCGACCCTCTCCCTTGGTCCTGTACAAGCGCTTCCTCTGAAGTCAGCTACTCGTGTGAGAGAGCCATAACTAACAAAACTAAATTGCTGCTGATCCCTATAACACAGCGAAGAAGCCCCGAGACGGGTGCCAATGGTACCCATCTCCAGGTGCTTCATGTTAGACTTATAGGCGCTGGCCATCTCCAACGAGACATTCAATCAGCAGCCATGTCGCCGATTCGGACAGAGGACGAGGCAGACAGCGGAGGTCCGTGCGGTGTTGACTAGCTAGTTAGCTTACCTTCATCCGTTGGTATGTCATATTCTTGGTTTACCACCGAGGCATCTCCCAGGGCAGGTCTTGCTGGGAGGGAGGCAAAGTTGGAAAGCAAACTATGTAGCCTTATTTTGCTGCCCATATTGGGTATTACTATCGTTTTAAGAGAAAACCGTCGTTCCCATACCTGTTTGTCACTGTTAGCTACTGAGGGCACTGCGGTAGATATATATTTAAAACCAGTTTGGGAATGGAATTTAAATCGTAAGGCTCTCGTACCAAAATCTACAAGTGCGACCCCATACACCTCCAAAAATAGATCCTTATATACCTTGAGCGCCCCAAGGAACTACCAAGAACTGGGCAGGTTGCCCAGGATGGCTAATTGAACCCGGGTTGAACCTCAATTGAACCCCAGGTCATCACGTGATAATTGCGGCTATGCCTCTATTGGTATAACTAACTAACTTAACTAACTAACTATGGGCTCAAGGACATGACTAATCGTGGCGGATTTACAGTATCTCCTTTCTCCAGGTATCCACCAAATTCTGCTGCATCGACGGACTCCCGTTCACGGGCAAACTTAATTTGCCAGCCAAATCTCACATAATCAACCCTCTTTCCATTCTGCCAAATCTTGATCAGCAACGGGAGCCGAAGGGATCTGCAGCTTTTTCAGCGAAAGCCCCGCCCCTGCCGTTCCAGTGTACCGGAAATGGCACGCAAACTTCCTTTCCCACGGAGAGATCTACCTCCTTCAGTGGAGACAGTCATATCCTCATCCTTATCTACAAGTATGATCTTCTTACAGTAACAAGGTAATTGCCAGAGTGAATGAGTGAGCCATCATGGTGAAGCCTAACATTTGAACTATCAACCTGGGCTCTCTGCAGTAATGTGAAAGAACCCCGCGAGCTATTCCGTCTGCAGAGAAGGACCCGGCACTATAATTGATTATTCAACAGGGTTACTATGTATTTTTGTAAGCTAAAAGCATTGTAACTAAGTATCTCCGACCGTGCATAGATGAGCCAGAAGCAAACCAGCCAAATAGTATTCATGTTTCAGGACAATTGTCCGTAGTCAGTCCGGGGAGCCCTTGGCCAGTATTGGTTTGATTGGCTGGACTTTCAGCACTCTTGGCGTGAGGCCCCTTGCCCCTTCCCACTTCAAGAAGCAAGAAGGGCTATAGCTCACCTTAATTGGTTGAATCGCCCTTGGGGTGTAAGTTTTGTGAACGACCGCTGGATCTAAGACTTTGGCTGCTTAAGGAGGTGCAATCATCGGAGACGTACTCTGAAATTCAATGGCTCCTTATGCCACTAGAGTCTGAGTACTCTCACAACTCTCACATGGGCGATTGAGATCATCGGCCAACTCTATCTCTCGCCGATTTTGTTCCGATCCACAATTTAGGCGTGTCTCGAGCTCCAAAAGCAGAACCAGAATAAACCAAAATACCAGGATATTGCAGTTCACGATCTCCTGCCTCAGTTATCAGTGAATACTTAGAGTATTGTGCATATTTCACCGATATTTGCTCCGGCGCCATGAGACCCCGCAGATTATTCCCCAAATACCCGAGAAGTCTGCTGCTATTCAACTTCCCGTCAGCTGTCCTAGGCTTGTAGACCGTCGTGTCGTGTAAGGTGACTAGAAGATAGGAGCCGATCAAATTGGTGACAAGCGTTTAATTAGTGCTGAGTGAGTAATTCAGGCAAAGGTTATGAACAGACAAATTGTAACTTGGCACAGTTGGCACAGGTGGCGAAACGTGGGGTTGGTTTACCCGTTCACGTCGGCTGAGGCTTGGCATAGAGAAGCTGAATATTAGGAATGTCAGATGAATGTTGTAATCTGAGGAATTTCGAGCCAAGATTGATTTGCTCAGAAAACTATCCTGAACTAACGGAACAAATTGTGTTACACAACAAGTATTCTAAATGCAGATTTCTCTCAGCAAAGTCCATACTTAACAAGTATCTCGCACGAAGGTTGTCTTGCACGAAGGTTGTCTTGCACGAAGGTTGTCTTGCACGAAGGTTGTCTTGCACGAAGGTTGTCTTGCACGAAGGTTGTCTTGCACAAGAAGTATCCAAGTAAAGACTACCCTATATGAACACATTCCACATTTGAAAGTACGATCACTACGTTAATGAGTAATGTAGCATAATTTACTATCACAACTTAGTGGACCGTTCAATTAGTCAAAAGGATTCTGCGGCGGATGAATATGATATACTATCGATATGCCATCTGCTCTGTCAAGAGAATAGGAAAACAGCTATACTTACTAATGAACAGGATTGAGTTGAACAGGGTTGAGTTGAACAGGGTTGAGTTGAACGGGGTTGAGTTGAACGGGGTTGAGTTGAACGGGGTTGAGTTGAACGGGGTTGAGTTGAACAGGGTTGAGTTGAACGGGGTTGAGTTGAACAGGGTTGAGTTGAACAGGGTTGAGTTGAACAGGGTTGAGTTGAACGGGGTTGAGTTGAACGGGGTTGAGTTGAACGGGGTTGAGTTGAACGGGGTTGAGTTGAACAGGGTTGAGTTGAACGGGGTTGAGTTGAACAGGGTTGAGTTGAACAGGGTTGAGTTGAACAGGGTTGAATTGAACAGGTTAAAACTGATAGTAGTTATTGAATGTGTTGACTAAATGTGCCGCGGTCTTTTAAAGTCTAACTATCGAGTCGTTCCACGATCATTATTTACTTCTTGCACGTATTGTATACCATATAAGAGATAGCGTGAGAATTAAAGGCAGTGATGAATTACACAAATACATTTTAAACATTGTTGATAATTGGATAATTTTGGATTCTTAACAGTTGTTGCCATTTCCACAGGGGAGGGGCAAATTGTCGTGTAAAACTTGAGGACAGACCTTGGCTTCCTCAGCCTAAACTGAGTAATAGTCTCCAGCACCGCGAAGAGGTATCTGTCAATAGCTGGAGGGCGGACGCGGAACATGTCATCGCAGCCCGACCTGGTGCTTGACCCAGGATTTGTGCAAGACAGAAGTCTGCGTATAGAACTTAATCCGACCTGGAGCGTGGTCCAGGATTTTTCACCTGGTGATCCAGGATTTGCACAAGACAAGAGTCTGCGTGTGGAACTGAATCCGACCTGGGTGTTGCCATCACCCAGGATTTTTCACCTGGTACTTGATCCAGGATTTGTGCAAGACAGAACTCTGCGTGTGGAACTTAATCCGACCTGGGTGTTGCCATCACCCAGGATTTGTGTTTACCTGGTACTTGATCCAGGATTTGTGCAAGACAGAAGTCTGCGTGTGGAACTTAATCCGACCTGGGTGTTGCCATCACCCAGGATTTTTCACCTGGTACTTGATCCAGGATTTGTGCAAGACAGAAGTCTGCGTGTGGAACTGAATCCGACCTGGGTGTTGCCATCACCCAGGATTTTTCACCTGGTACTTGATCCAGGATTTGTGCAAGACAGAAGTCTGCGTGTGGAACTTAATCCGACCTGGAGCGTGGTCCAGGATTTTTCACCTGGTGATCCAGGATTTGCACAAGACAGAAGTCTGCGTGTGGAACTGAATCCGACCTGGGTGTTGCCATCACCCAGGATTTTTCACCTGGTACTTGATCCAGGATTTGTGCAAGACAGAAGTCTGCGTGTGGAACTGAATCCGACCTGGGTGTTGCCATCACCCAGGATTTTTCACCTGGTACTTGATCCAGGATTTGTGCAAGACAGAAGTCTGCGTGTGGAACTGAATCCGACCTGGGTGTTGCCATCACCCAGGATTTGTGTTTACCTGGTATTTGATCCAGGATTTGTGCAAGACAGAAGTCTGCGTGTGGAACTTAATCCGACCTGGAGCATGGTCCAGCATTTTTTACCTGGTACTTGATCCAGGATTTGTGCATGACAAGAGTCTGCGTGTGGAACTGAATCCGACCTGGACCACGCTCCAGGATTTGCACATTGGCTGTAATCTCGACCGTAGTGAAATTGCAGCGAATGCGTGATCTCTCCATACCCTCAAAAAGGTCTGGAAAGGTGAAAAAGGAAGAAAGGCGGATGGCTTGCCTTTTAACCTCCTGCGATGGGCCCTGACCCATGCCGCCAATGCGACGGGTGGCCCCCAATCATGTCTCTTTCCACAAAATTACAGGGTGCTGTTGTAACCCGACGAATATTACGGTCACATATAATCAGGATAAACCTAAATACTTTGGCCAACACGCCATTCATGGATCTGCCTCGCATAACCCTGCGTCATCGGAGAACACCCTCAGCTTGACCACGATGCTCGCAGCTCAGTGGCCGGCTCAATCATCCTAACCTGCAAACTACCCAATAAATAATTAATAAATTTTCTCAGACCCTTTTTACAATAATATTCTATCAATAGGAAAGTCTGGTCTCGCCGTTGCCAAACGCACAAATCGAATATGGCAAGATCGTCCTGAACGGCCCAATACGGTGTTATTATAGTACGATGAACCTGGTGTACAAACCCAACATCCGCTTCTCCATTTCAATCCTTGTCATTGTATTCTTTGCATACTATGAGGATGTGTGGCCGGATACAGTATTGTGATAAACTCAAATAGGAATACCATGGTCTTCGCAAGTACTCTTGATTTTTTCCATCTTTATCCTTTACCTGGATAACCTCCTCATTTCAAACCCTTACTTCCGGAGCTAGTCTAAAGATCCTGGATTTATCCGATAGCAAGGTTTTCCAGGATATGGGGAGTCGAGGATACATTGGGGATGGAACAGAGGCGAGACATTGCCGGACATTACCAGTCAAGATAGGAGGCTTGTGGAGGGGGCGTTTTTTGATGAATCCTGTACGGACACTCGTCACCTGTGGTTTCTCAGTCGTCACATGATAAGGCTCCACTCTCCCCTGGAACATGGTAGCCGATTCTGAACGTACATACAGGATCCAATGGAGCTTGAGCTGGATGAATCCCGCGAATACCTGCCTGTAGCCTCTAGGGTTGTTACGAGGACGGCCGCTTTGCACGCCATCTTGGAAAAAGGAGGACAGCGGTCGGCGGTGGACAGCCTTCTATTAGCATATGTCAAGGCTTTGCGGGGCCCCGCCCCTCAAGTCATAATTTACCTCTTTCTCGAATCTCGCCTGTAGACGATGTTGGCCTGAGTTAGAGAAGATCGTCCCCAGTTAGGGGTACAGGGCTGTTAGCCGTATTGGGTTTACACATTCAGATAATTCCTTAGGTTAACGAACACTCATCGATCATTCAACGGAATTCACAGATACCTACATTACTGCTCTTGTGGCCCGTGGTTGCATTGGTTGGGGAGATGTTGGAATTGTTCTCGTGGAAGCACTCTTGACCCCGCACGTTCAAGATGTCGAAGGGGCGCGGCCCATTTATGACGGGTACGAATACTGTAACAGACCCCAGCCCTGGGCATGTCTCCAGATCGACGTGCTCAGGCCCATACCTGATCAAATGCGGCGGGTCCGGTGGAGCTTTAGTGACAAATTGTAGAAGTGGGTCGCCGTTCGTATGAGCATATTAGAACGTCCAAAGATAAACAGGTGGCGGACGGCTGGTTTCATTTTGAACGCTGGAACCAAGCAGAATTGTTTTCAGATGTTGGTGGCGTAGCGAAGTCTTCGACTCGATGGGCCCTCATAAGACTGCAACTGTCCTGGAGTTTCTGAGCGACTTCTTGTTCTTCTTCTTCTTTATGCCAAAGACAAAGTCAATACCTGAGGTAAGTCCCCGGGTTCTTGGGTGTAATATACCATGTGATAACCCCATAGTAGACTGTATAGAAACCGTTTTGTTTGATTTTGCCGCGTCCATCAGCAAATCCATTCCGTCGACATTGTATCAGCGACAGGCGACCCTCAGTATTCGTACGATTAACGATACGATTGCGGGCTTACAAGCACAACGATGAAAAGCACGAAAAAATCAGATCCCCTTCGGAGCTATGTAGAGGCCACACGGAGCCAGTCACAAGTGGCAGGATTCTTGCGGGACCTGCGAAAGGAGAGAAGGCGACTTCTACGGCGACTCAAGCAGATTTACGTGCAAGTCGGGGGAACTTCGGAAGAAGAGTGCAGAGGGCTGCGGGGCCAGGCCATCAGAGTCGTGGCCCTCAGTATTTTACTTGAGTCCCTGATCCAGAAATCCACTGTACCCGACGATATTTGTTCCAGAGGATCATGAGATCATGCTGAATGTGTTAATGGAGCTCTCAGCTTATCCAGAAATATTGACCACATTGTTATTTTCGTAGCCCGGGCCATTTCTCGTATGAATTGTAAAGAACTACTACTACGCTTCGCACAGACGGTTCTAGTGTTGGGAGACAAGCCAAGCACTAGGAAGGACCAGCCATCGCAGCCACAGGGGAGATGGCCCCAGTAAATTTCAGCCGACATGGAAACAATATTTCAGTTACAAGAGCAGTTTCGTTGGTGTATAATTGCTGGCATGTTCGTCACTGGTCGGGTCTTTCTTTGTTAGAACGTACAAATCACGGTTGAGATCATCGCTCAGTAAGCTTGTTGAACGCTTTTTAGTTGGCCTGTGGGGTGCTACAAGACAAGCAATAAATTACCCACTTTCGCACCTCGAACAATCTCCTGGCAAGCCTGGCAAGGGTTTTTTTTTTCATAAGATTCAGTCAGCCTTTTGCCTTTCGTCAACTCTTCTTCACCATGCCAAAAGCCGCGACCACTTCGAGGAACCCAATGGTGCCGCCCCAACGGGCGGTTCGCCGGTCAGCAGCAGGGGCAGGGAGATCTCTTGCGCAGCCCATAGGAGCTTTACCTGGAAGCGATGGTGGTGGTCTTGAACCAACGTCGCGACGGCCAATGAATGTCAGACAAGTACCGATCCGCTCGTCAGTGTCGCGTTAAGGGGCGTACATTCTCACTCGCATACTTTTTGATAGGAACGAACTTCCCACACCTCTAGACCAGTGAATCAAGGCGACACAGATGAAGACTTTGAGACCGTCCACGCGGAATGCAGAAAGGATATGGAGAATGCTGATGCGGTCAACCAAAAGCTGACGGCTCGGTATAATGAGCTGCGGCGCGAAGCCTCAGCTAATGCACAGCGGTTCGCCAGAGAACGAACCGAGACCATGAACAAGATTCACCAGTACCGTGTGGAGATACAGAAGAAGTCAGACGAGGTACAGCGCTTAAATGGAGAAAATACTAGGCTGGAGAAACTTCTTGAGTTGGCCAACTCGAATGCCCGTAACCTGCTCTCGCGAAGTGAACTACAACAGATCCTGCAAGGCATCCATACTGCTTCCCAACCTTTCATGACCCATCTCAAAGCTAGAATGGACGAAAACGAAAGTCAGATGGACGAAAACGGAAATGCGCAGAATTTCAGTCAGCTGCCGGGAATAGATGTGACGGGCGACTGGCTTAACATAGAAGGGTTCGATGTGAATAATGACTCGGAGGCCCTTGCAGAGATGCCAGGCACTATGTTCCCTGCACTCGACCTGGAAGGCGTTCCAAATATCTAATCTGTTGTAGTGGAGCTGGATCATTGGGCCAATCCGCCATGCATGTCATCCTAAGTCCTTAATGGCAACTTGCGTTCGTTAAGACATCTGCCTGCAGTATGTTCTATCAAATATTCCCCTGCCATTATACGAACAAGTAGAAGTAAGCATCTACTTTGTATACGGAGCTGGCCCATTTCTGTTGCCGCATTTCAGCAGTTTGGAAACTCCTCAACAGCCAAGGGGCTCTTATGTTACGGTATTAAGACCGGCGGGTTGTGTAACTAGAATTCAGCACTCTCCAGGTCAAGGGGAAGTCCCTCAGCGACCATCGCTGACATCATTCTTCAAATAAACAACTAAGCCTAATATCACCTACTCTGCATTCTCCTCAGCCTGGCTCCTCCAACGTGGGTTCGTCCGCTTGATGCGCTCTCTATGCACCTATGCACGCACGCTGAGTCGTGTAGCTATCC